CTGTTTTGTTGGAACCTAATGGTAATTACCCAACAAAAGCCTCCAGTGTTACATAGTCACATAGGATTGTTATTATTGCATGAAGGTTATTATTTTGAAATTATATACCATAATCTTGGGGTAATTAAAAGTTTTCCTTGTTACTAAGAACTATAGTGTGACTTGCTATATATTACCATGTTATTACACAGTTATTGATGTACTGTAAAATAATGCGTTACCCAGCGGCCTACAGTACTTCTAGTTTTCTACCTCTGATCTCCCTGCAGTCAGTTCAAACTACACCTGAGAGAGTAGCGCTGTTAGCAGACCTTACCGGCCACGCCCAGCAGAAGGACCACCATCACCCTTCCCAGGTCCCGAAGAACTTTCAGCACTTTGACTTTCAGACCCTCTGCCAGCAGCTTGGCTTTGGTTGCCGTGGAAACCTCGTCGGGGGAACCGTTGGAGGACCTCTCCTCCTCTTCATCATCCGATAACTCCTCCTCATTCTCTGTTGTAGTGTCTGCAGAATCTTCTTCAAGCTGTTCAGGGAGAAGGAAAGTTTAAATCCCGGGTACCAAGTAGTTCCTGGGGATTTACACCTGAATGGGAGTTTAGATGCAAATCATTTAGTGACGGGACCACTGAGGTCTGAGGGGACCCTGCTCTGTTTAGGACTCCCACATCAACATGTTTGCAGTGGGCCCTGGGAGCTGGATATAAAACATTGAGTTATTTTAATAACCATTATCAATTAATTAAAGCTGGGGTTTACATTGTTACATTTTGGAAACTGTAAATCATATACCAGTCTTATGTTTACATTTGATCACAGTCTTTACATTTTATCACTGCTGTTTACATTTGAGCAATGCTGCACTTTAAAAATGGAAATGTCTTGAGAGCTGTACTGAACGAAATTTCTTTTTGTCTACACTCTGTGTGTACAAAATGACTGTCTGTTCAGGTCTAACTCTAAGTCTTGTTAACTGGTGACAGACTGTAGACTAACTTATGTGTAGTTAGTGGCTTTAAGCCTGGTTAATTATCTGAATTTTATTAAGCTCTAGAGCCGTAGTTCCCAGACTAGTTTGTGCTTTGGTTAAAAGCCACAAAACGACCTCCTTTAAAGCAGCACTGTGTAACGGTAAGCCACTAGGGGCGCTAGACCCATATGTTTCAGGTTTAGTGCCACCTAAAGGCCACTGGCAGCATTGCACAGTTTCTGCATGGAGCCAGTCTGGTTCTTGTTCTGGTTCTGGTACCGGACCACTTTGAACCATGAGATCTAGAAGTCCTGGAGTTCCAGTGAGAATAAGAAAACTTTAATTCCTCTAGATAAAATATTTCAAAAAAGGAGTCTGAAAAATCTGATAAAAAAAAAAATGGATTTGGGAGTAATTTATAATTATAAGTCAAACTAATCGATTTTAAGGGTTCATAAAAAAATAAAAATGTTTCTTATTGGTCCAAGCAAAGACCACATAGCAATGTAGAGGGATATATATAATGTATATATAAAAATCTGAAAAATTATTTAAAAAAAAAAGGAAAAGCAAACAACGTATCGGTTCAATTATTTCATGCACTTTAATACTTACTCTGGAAACCTTTTTCATGAACAACATATTTTTAACAAAAATCCTTTTTTGAAACTTGTTCTTTGTTTTCAATAGCACTGGGAAAGAATCTCTCCGTAAAAACAAATCAGATGAAGCGAAGGACGGATCACTTTGGCTGGCTAAGTTGCTGCTTTTTTATGTTCATATCTGTTTTGTTGATTGCAGGTTTTTACCTTCTATTTTTTTTATGTTTGCAACCTTTTTTGTCCAGAAGTCCAGTCCATAAAATTCTGGACAGGACCAGTGACGGAGGGCAGCCCTGCTGGAGTCCAACATGCACCGGGAACAGGTCCGACTTAATGCCGGTGATGCAGACGAAACTCCTGCTCTGCTTGCACAGAGACAGGGTGACCCCTAAAAAAGGGCATACTAAGCATATCTCTTATTAAGCTAAAACTGATAACCAGCGGCCCAGGAGGTGATGCATTTAAAATGCTATTTTTCTGAACAGCTGCATGAAGTTAGTTTCAAATAGATTAGATTCGATTAGATTAGAGCTTTATTGATCTCACAGCGGAGAAATTCACTGGTCACATATTGGCATAGTAATTAAAGAAGATGGTGCAAACAAGAAGGAAAAAGGTGCATTAAGAATAAGAAAAGTAGGAGCCGATGTGACCGGCTGCTGCCTGCGCAGCGCCATCTTAGGATCCAAAGCTACACATACAAAGTTCCAAGGCTCCAAACCTCCAGATCAACAGTGTTTAAGACTGTTTATTAAATATTTGCCTTCCAATGTTTGCCTTCCAATGTTTTAGAGATTCATTGATTGCTTTAAAGCGTTTTCCATCAGTGGTTCTTCAGGCTTTCTAGAGAGTTCTGCTAATTTATTGGCTGAATATTTGCCTACGTTCACACTGCAGCCTGAAGTGACCCAAATCAGATTTTTTTGGCCCATATGTGACCTGGATCTGATCTTTTCATGGTTGTCTGAACAACCCAGGCCACTTGGCTATGTGCTCCTGAATCCAATACGAATCTGATCTTTTCAAATGCAACCTGTGTCTGAGCGGCCAGGTCACATTCATTCGACCTGAACACCATTAATACCCAATGATGCCAATAATTGCTATGAAGAAGCGGCACGAAAAACAACAACCATGGTAGATGATGATGCGGAGAGCAGTATTTAAGTTGAACCATCTTGAAATTATTGTGTTTTATGGTTGGGAAATATCGCTAGATGCGCTCCGGCACTAACATCCATGTTTACTTCCGTAAACAGAGAGCACACTGGCCTGTGATGTCATTGCGTCCTCTACTGCGCATGCCGGACACTTGCGTTGTATGACTGTAGCTCACACCGGAGATCACATACAAGTTGCATATATTTGGAAATGTGAACGGCAACGCAATAAAATTGGATTTCACAAAAAAATAGGAATTGAGCATCAAGGCCTGCAGTGTGAACGTAGTCTTAGACTCACACTGAGCTTTGGTCCAAATAAGACAGTTTAATGGGTCAAAGTCAGGACTGACTCCTTCCCTTCTCTTTCTAATAACAATGAGACTTACTGATGTTATATTGGCTGCTGCCACCATCTCTCTGTTCCTGACCAGTCTGCGGCAGAGGACAATCGTAACGAGTGACACCACACAGACTCCTACATCTGGACACAGGAGACGCAGCACATTCCAGGGATCGTCCAATGGAAGCCTGCATATGAAGGAAGAACCATGAATAAAACAAAGCAAAAGGCCGGCGCCTTTCAAGACTCACCCTTAACACTTCACCCAACTCCTACCTGGACAGACCAATGTGTCTGGTGATGGCCTCCCATCGTGAACAGTTATAACCTATTGCAGCGTCGAGGGGAGCGTAGGTATACAAAACCGTCTGGAAGCAGATATGAGCCAGAACGAAGAGCAGACTGGTGCAGAAAACTGTTTTAATGAACCGACCAGTGTGACCTGAAACGGAGAGAAAGAAGCAAAGGTAAGAGTTAATGGTGTTATTATCATTGATATCGCTCATCAACAGCCAACATTTACCCTTTCTACCCTTACAGGATGGTACGACTTTCTACCCTTACAGGATGGTACAACTTCCTACCCTTACAGGATGGTAGAACTTC